GAGAAAACATTAATGCAAAAAGGCAATTCGAAAGAAAAACAATAAAATAGAATTTCAGAGTACAATATCGCATGTCCCATGAATGAACGTCCATGCATAGTTTCAACGAATGACATGATATTCCCATGAATATGCGTTGAAGTCCATCGAAGTCGCTCAATGAATGTCAAAATAACAATTCATGGACTTCCAACAACATATTGGTGAGTGAGAAGGAGTCTCGATTATGCGAAGGAGTCTAAGAATAATATTACTTGGCGGGTGAACAAAGTCAGATCAATTGTTTCAAGTTGCAGAGGTGGCCCTCGTCTGATACACAGCAGCATCAGCCATGTCCATCACCATCGCGTTCTCATCCACTGGTACAGACAACGCATGATGACTCTACAACACATACATACATGTCTTGCCCTGGAGGCAGCAGAGACGCACCAGACGGCTGGTGGTGAAGCGATTTTCCTTGTTTCGGAGGTTCTTTTGTATGCAACCTGCGACAGCCCACACACGAGCGAACACTGTTGAATATCACAGCACACAGCAACGCCTTTCAGCGTCCGAGGGTCAAAGGATGCCATGATACAGACTCGGGCTGTCAAGGACGGCATGTATGGGGCTCGAGCGGTGGAGGTGCGGTCGCCAAGGCCATCTGTGGCCAGCAATGAGGTTCCGTTCTTGGTGCACACGGACAGCAACAAAAAGAAAGGTTGACCAAACTCTTCGTACAAAACACCGGCCTTCGGTGGTAGGGTCGGTGCTGCTGTGTGCGACGTGCATCTGGCCGTACCCTGCTGTGCATAGAAGGTCTCACGTGAGTGTTCAAGCCATAGATTCGAAAATTCAGAAGGACGAAGATGGCGGAAGTCCGTATGACCGGCAGTGAAAGGCCGCTATTCAGGGGAGACTGTTTGGTGTCGTTTCGATTCGATGGTGAACGCCTTGCACTGGTTTCACAGAATTGCCAGCAGTGTGGGTGGGGCTCTTTCGTTTGCACGCGTGAATGCGGAACGGGTCGTTTACAATACACTGTAAATAGGCGGATTTATGATACAGTCATGTTGGTGTTCCGAGATTCGAGGGAATTGAATCTGTGCAGATTCCTCAGTTGAAAATTTTCTGACAACCTCTGACAGGCCTGACAGGTTGATGACGGTTGTGTCGGACAAACTGTTCAGCAAATATTTGATTGTCCAGTACACAACACACCCGCGGCAGAGACCGCGCCGAGCGTGACTCTCCTGCATGACACCGCGCCAACATGACTACCATAGCGTTACCCTACCGAAAAGGAGTGTGCCCAATCCCATAGCTTCAGTGCGTGCACATCACGTCGTACGTACGTATGTGGAGCATAGAAGAGTATTGGTCTTCAAGGTTCGGGGAGATGCAACTCCCCACGGAAGGATAAAATAGGGGACAGGATCTAGTAGAGCCCCTGTTCTGAGCAGCTGATCCTGGCCCCATCTTAGACAGTCCTCTACCTTCCCTTGGCAACAACTACTGCTGCAGCTGTTCCACACGAGTCAATATCAAGTGAGTTCGTCTTCACGGGTCTCCCAGATTGCACCGCGCGTGCATATCCGTTACACTTGGCGTCGTCGGCATAAACGAACAGCGTGCTTTCTGGGGTTTAACAACATATTGGTGAAATTGAGAGCGAAGCATCTGATTGAAAGCGAGATTGCACGATGCGCTGCAGCTGGACTACTTACTGCTGAGAGGTGGAGCTTGCTGTGTAGCTTGAATTGAAGGGCCGGCCCGTAGCTACAAGCAGATACCCTGGTCACCCTGTGGGAACCTCTCGATGTGGAGGTACAGCGGCGAGAAGAAGCTACATACAGGAGAGCCCACCGCCCGAGGCCATACCGCCCTGCAACAGTTTGAGGCAGCAATAGCCAATCTGGAGAAATGTAGCAACTTGTCTAGCTCCTAGCTGCAGCATCCGATGACGATGACACGCACATGCTCGTGACGCTGCTGATGAGACCTTCAATTTGCGCCGCTCCTTGGAAGAGCCCGCCCCCTACTTCCCAAGAAATGGCAAGAGACGTCTGGACCCGAAATTTCAATTTTTCGGCTTTCGCTCTCAATTTCATGCTTCGCTCTCAATTTCACAAAATATGTTGTTGCTTGTGTTTGGGCCGCTCGCGCCTGCTGCTGCACGCAGCTTTCTGCGCTTTCGTCTCCACACAACTTAGCTTTGCCTCGCTAAGATCGGTGTGTCTCAAGTTAGTGTCGACTCCTCGGCCTCGGCCTCGGCCAGTCCAGAGCCCTCAGAGTGTTCTCGCTCTCCGGTGTCTCCACTCAGTGCTTCGACTTTCGGGGCGACAGTCGACGATTCCCAATCGTCGTTGCTGCCGTCTCTTGATGGCGCGTGCGCTGCTGACCCCATCATAGAAGCCACCCGTTTGTCAGAGCTTCGCGCTCAGCGCCGACGGGAGGAGTTCGCCTCCACAACTTCTACTGACGCTAACCCCGTGGGTGCTGTTCTCAAATTGCCAGCACCCACAACAGAAGCTTCGGCTTCCACCTCTGTCCTTTCGAGAACCCAGCCTTCTGTTCTTACAGCCGCTGGTGGTGTGTCCCAAGTTTTCCCGCCGGAACCACATGTTGCTGATTCCACTTTTCCCCTCACCTCCACCGCCGCTGAGCCTTCTGCTGTTCGGGCAGACATTGACTTTGACAATACTGGCTCTGTAGTGCCACGCTTGCCTCATGGCTCTGTTGATGGCAGCACACGGCATTTTGATAATACTGTGCCGGCCATTTCTCCTTTTTCGTCGCGTAGCAGCGCACACAAGCCGCCGCTCGTGCCCAACAGCTTTTTGACCGTCGTGCATTCGTTTCAGTGGCATCAGTGCCTTTGGATTTGACTGCTTCACATGCATCTGTTCCGGTGGTTTCGACTGCCTTTGCGGATCCGACCGCTTCCAATGCAACCGTCTTAGTAGTTTCGACTGCCCCCGTTGCATCTGCTCCTGTTTTTTCGACTGCCGTGGCTGCTCCCCTTGGTCGTGATGCACCTGTTTCTAAAGTTTCGACTACGTCAACTGCATTTTGTTGCTGCCTTGCAATTTCTACGCTCCCGACCATGATGGTTGTATATGCTCTCTCTCCGCCTGTAGCACTCGAGTGTCGTCTGACCCTCTCATGACCTCGGCCCGCCCGTCTGAGCTTCGTGCTGCATGCCGGCGAGAGAAGTTCGCCTCAGCGTGTCTCTGCTCGATTCTACCTTTGCACACATCTGTCTCGTAAGGGAACTTCGGTTCCAGACACACCAACAGTTGTTGAGCCCCGGCTCTCCGCTGTAGCCGCTGCCGTCGTTTGAACTTTGGCTCGTCTGCTAAAGCAGTAGCTTGGCTGTTGAGCTTCGGCTCTCTTGCCAGGTTCGGTTTGTATCCCATGGTATTTTTTTTACATTTGTCGTAAGTATGTAACCACATTATACTTCATAAACCGGTTGTTTATAACTTCAGTCACCCAACCCGGACGCGTGATGTAGCTTTGGCTCACACCGTCTGTGTCTGCAGTTTCGACTGCTCGCAAACGGAGCTAACCGGCTGTGTTTGGCTTATTGTATGACTTCGGTCACCTACCCCACTGGACACGTGCTGTAGCTTCGACTCACGCCTGTGACAGCAGTTGCGACTGCTCGCCGTGCTTACACTGCGGTTTCCATGCCACTAGTTTCGACTATGCCCGCGGTTTCGACTGCCCGCCGTGCTCGCACCGCGGTTTCCTTACCTGTTGTTTCGACAGCCAACCCCAATGCTAGTTGCTGCTTCCGCGTTTCTAGCTGTAACCTCGGTTACTGCTGCAGTCTCGACTGTAACCTGCTATTTCTCTACCTTCCTCAATACAGGACGCCACTGATGCGGCCAACGGGTCTCGGCCCGACCTCCACGATGTGGTGTGCCGCCTCCTCGTGGCGATGCGGGCGGCCACCATGAACGCAACGTCTCCGGTGGTGTGGCCCGGCTGCGTCGTGGCGACTCCGGCATCTCCGGCGTTCCAGCAGTCCAAGGCCGGCCGCGTCAAGGCCAAGCCGGTCCAGCCCATCGTGCGAGAGAGTAGCTCGGCGAGGACTCGGGCTGGAGTTCCACGGGAGCGTCTCGCCCCCCCCCGGAGCCATCTTCATTGGCGGGCAATGGCCGGGCACGGCAGTAGGCCAAGCGCCACACGAGCGGGACTCGTGGCAAGGGAGGCGGATCGGGCTCTGGTTCAGACCGGAGTCTCACCCGGAAGCACGGCGCTCGGAAAGGGTCCTTCTTCCAAGCAAGTAGTCCCGTCCCTTATGGATGCGACTTTGAGTGATCGTTTACTTTTACATGATGATGTTTTTTCACAGGCTTCTTCCCCCCCCTCGACTTCGGTTGTTGGTACGGTTTCGCCCTCCCCTCTTTCCTCGGACTCAGGGCGTTTGCGTCGTGTTGCGTTTTCGGACCTTCACCCGCCCTTAGGTTCCCCTGTCTCTCGGAATCCTTTGCACCTTCTGTCCGTTGTGCCGCATTCAATGCTGTAGACTCCGGACATGAACGTAGCGTTGAGTTTTCGAACTCACCCCCGGTTTCGACCACACCTGTTTCTTTGGAAACCTCTGCACCCCGTAGCCTTTCTGCCGCTCGCCATGCCGTAGATCCACGAATGATGTAGAACCCTGGGTTTTCGAACCTCAACCCCCTTCGGCGTTGGATCCACCAGTGCCGGGTGTTTTGCGTAGCATGTTGTCTTCAGACCATGCCCCCACAGCTGCTTCGGTAGCCGTCGCCGCACCCCCCGCTGTCTCCGATGATCGTGCTTTGCCACTTTCTTTTAACACAGCACACACTCGTCAAGCATCGATCGATGCGAATGAGATACAGCTGCTCGTAATGCTCATGTAGCTACCGTTCAACGAGTGTACATCATCCTCAACTTGAAAAAGTTGACAATGTCGCTACCATGCCCTTCCCCGCTACTCTGTTGCCGGGAGATGGCTTTCAGCAGCTTATTCGCACAACAAGAATGGCTTTGTCCGATATTTTGCTGTTTGTTGTGTGATGAGCAGAGTGAAGGTGTGACAGGCGCCGATTTTTTGCGTGGATGGGAACGTCCTCTCGAAAAAAAACTTTTGAGTGCGATCACCCCCGACAAGCCTTCTACCGCCGATCTCGTCCTTGCCGTTACTGATTTCTTTCAGCAAGTGAAACGGAGCTTGGATGGAGAAGCCCCTGGACCAGACGCTTTCCAGCTATTGTTGCGTCACCTGGCGGAGCACTTTGACGTCGGCGACCGCCAAGAATCGTTTTTGCGGCTGCAACAACTTGGCGCAGCAGATGGTATTCCATTCGCGGATTATCTTCGGGCTTTCCGTTTCTTCGTTTCGTCTGTGACTGGCTCCGAGCGTACTTTGGTCCGTAGTGTATCCATGGTTCTCGAAATAGTGCGAAACTCGGTCGACAAGCAATTTCCGAGTCTGGCTCCGCTTTGGTACCCGGGTGTTTTGGCCACTGCGGTCACTCCCTTTAAGTCGATTGCGGTTATTATGTGCGAGGCTTTCGCGCCTTTGGCTACTAATAAAACCCCTGCTATCGGTGGTTCATCTTATTTTTCGTTGACTTCGACCCGTGGCTCGCTGCAGCCTCGGCGGTCTAACCACCGCGCCCCGGGCCAGTGGGCATCCGGCTCCGCACAGAACCCTGTAGATTGCCGGTGCAACCTCAAGCCACGGATCCTTTCACGCACAACTACAACTCGTGGCTTGTTTCGCAAGCCGACTGGTCTGATGTATACGCCCGTAACACCGATGATCCTTTTTTATGGACTCCTTTGTTGACACAAGAGACTCGTTTGCAAGCCTTCCGCGAAAACAGAAACCGCGTCAGAGATAATCTCTGATAGAATTGGCATGTATGAGATCGATGTCATCAGCAAATTTCATGCTGCTATCGCCTTGGCTACTCTGAGTTCATCAAACTGCGTTCGGAGTTGTGCCATATTGGCTCCATGCTTGCCTACAGGGATGTCTTGATCATTCATTACAACCTCGTGCACTCCTTCCTGCGCAAAACGTGCCACCATGCTCGACTTGAAAATTAAGAGCTTCTGCTGTAAATCGTCCCCTTCTTGCACCATCCCAAGGTGCGTCTAGACTCAGTCATGCGGAGGGTCCCAGAGTGAGGTACTGCACCGATGTCGCCGGATGAGGTCTGGAGGCGGCCGGCAATGGCATTCGCGATCGCGTTGGCCAGATCCTCGGCGGAGGGTATGGGGTAAGAGGAGCAATCTTTCTTCCGGGGGAAGCGAGAAAGGAGGAACGAAAAGGGGGAAATCAGACGACAGCCGGGCCGCTTCTACCATATCCTCCAGAGAGATACGGCCAGTGTTGTAGGCCCGCTCCAGTTCCGCCGGATCTGCCGTGGCGATGTTGGCCAGCAAATTATCGACGGTGAACACGACGGGCATACGGCGGCTCTCGTCTCCCGCACCGGCCGCTGGAAACTGCTCTGCGGTGGGAGCCTCGCCCTAGGCTTCGTAATCCAGGATTTCCACGTTGTCGCTCAGGAATTCCACATTGCCGGTGGACATGTTGTCCTTTTTTAACACAGACAGGGCCAGAGAGAGGGTGGCTACGATCGATTGTGGAAAGGGCAGCAGGGCCAGAAACAGCAGATGTAGGAAAACCAACCGCAGTTGAGGCAGCAGCACCAAGGGCAGCAGAAGCAGTAAAGCCAGGTGCAACTTCGGGAAAAGCAAGCCGAGGTCCATGCGAAACGCGGAGATATCCACAGAATAGCATACGCCCAGTGATTAAAGCTTGGTGCACACGAGGTTGAAGCGGATCCAACCAACCAAGCAGAAAAAGCGTCCAAAAGCACACCATGTTGTTGTTGTTGTCTTCACATTAAAAACCATCCCGGTTTCTCTATCCAGTGACTCCTTCTGTCTCAATCTCTCCGTACTAAACCAGCACTTGACTCGGTCAATATCCGTGGTCACAGGCTAACGTACCTAGAAAAGGTATACCAAAATAAAATGAACCCCAAGGGTTAGCAGAGGGATAAATACAAGAAAACAAAAGAATCAGAAACAAATACTTCAAGTAAATAAATAAATAGTGGAACGTGCGCACCACCAGCCTGGGGGGTAGCCTTCCGGAAGGACCCCAAGGGTCAGCAGTACGTGCCAGTAAAACAACAAAACAAAATAAAACGAAATAAACCA